GTGTCTTTGACCAGAGGGACGCCACGTGCGCGACGTGCCTGCGCGTGTTCCCTGCCGGCGGACTGCAGGCCCACTTGGAGGAGCACCGCCGCGGGGACAGGCCGTGCCCACAGTGCGCCGCCCGCTTCACTGGCGCCGCCGCCTTCGCGCGCCACAAGCACGACTTCCACTGGCCGCCGCCCCGCGCTGGCCCCTCCACTGTGCGGCCCGGCGTCGTGGGGCGCTGCCACATCGACGGGTGCCTAGCTGTGTTCGCCAAGTGGGAGGAGTTTGTGGCCCACTTCACGGCAAACCACTTCAAGAAAAGTCACCTCGGCAAGTACGTGTGCCCCCTCTGCCTGGCGCAAGTTCCCATCATTGCCGAGAAGAGCCACGCCAAAAAGCACTCCGAACCCCGCCATCAGTTTGGATGCGAGCTGTGCCCGGCGAGCTTTCTGAAGAGCGGCAGTCTCCATGGACACGTCAAACACTTTCACAATGTGGGTTGAGCTTCGCGCTTCTCACTCCCCAGTGTTCCTTTCCTGCGTGACACACTGGTGGAACTGTGTAATCTTGGGTTTGAGACTTTTAGAGTCTTTAAGGTAATTGTGGTGGAGGTAGTTTTCTCTGTAATTTGAACTCTCTAGAAGTTTTTTCCTTTAAGGTGATGGTTTACGTTCAATAAATACAGTTATCTTTGACGAGTACTTAATTTTCGAGTGTTGGTTTTCCTTCATTACTCTACAAGTCGAAGTGTGTACACCGTTTTCACAATCTAAAGTAAATTAGAATGCTCTCCTTCTAGCACAAGCACATGTTTCATGTGTTCACTTACTTCACTCTCAGCCTTCAATGGACATTTTAATTATATTCATTAACGTTTGTGCACATTAATAGGATTTCGTCAAGAAGCTCAACAGATTTGTCAAGACGATATTGATAAAACAGTTGATAAAGCAAATAAGAATGTTAATATGCTCATGAAAATTAATGTGCACAAACGGCAATACGTTATAGAAGAACAACTCAGTACGAGACTGAAAGTGCAGTGCATTTCAGGCATGTCCACCCTAAAAAGTGGGGCGGGCGACAAAGGCGCCCAGTTTCTTGACAGCCTACATTTAGAGTGTACAGATGTAACTACGGTCCCTCTTATATTTGATACGCAGTTTTGGACACATTTACACACACGGTCCCTCCATGTAACGCGGCGTTACGCCTCGCCAGCCCTCCCTCCCTTCTTCCCCACCTGAAGCAGCGGAACGTTGCGCTAAATTTTTCATGAAAAATATTTTTTTTAAACTATAAACTGTTGTGCATCTGAGACGTGCTCTCAAATGAAGGGAGCGTGGGGTACAATGGGACATTGTCGAGTTTGGCACCTTGCCGTGGTCGAAGAAAGAAACAAAAACTGTCGGTTCGAGCCCTGGCCTGGTTGCGACTGGACACAAGGTGGTAACTCCGTACGACAAGGCCGTTGCGAACGACGGTGGAAAGACATTTTGAAGGCAAAGTAACTATCCTTGCTTGTCGAACTTTTTTTCTGCTCGTATCCGAACATCGTGCAGGGCCGCTGTCCATATACTATAATGCCTTGTGTGGTTTTTATGCTCTCCTGTTTGTCTTGCAGCCTTTATGGTTTGTCACAGCAGTGATGAAGTGGCAGCTCACAAGCCGCTAGGCGATTGTGTTGCATGGCTTGCTTCTTCATGAGTGGAAAAGTGTCCGTTCCTGAAATGTGCAGCACCATGGACATTTGGACTTAAATGGCCTCTGACTTCTGAGTGATAATTTATTTTTTTTTTGCTGTGGTGGTCAAAACTCTTTCTAGAAAGAACTTCTGATATCGTAAGTAAAATACCTCTTTCAATTCTCATGTATTTTCTGGTTCTATTCATCCTTTCGTGATTAGTTTCTTCAATTTTATCTTTGTTATCAGAGATGAGACCAGTATCTCGTAGTTCGTACTGATCAAGATTCCATCAAAACTTACTGTTGATTTAAGAAAAGGAAGTTTCTTCTGAGAATTTTGACAGTCTCGATTACAGATGTCTGTTCAGGGAATTGTTTTTCTTGCTATCAAGAGACCTATGGTCCCTTTGGTTATTCTGCCAATGACACGTACACAGTTCTGGTGTTCGGCAATGACTGCATTTTTTGACAACTATCCTTAATGGTAAGCCACCTGCTAACTGTTTTGAACCGAAATACGAAACCATCTAATATTCTATGTTTTAACTTTATTTGTGGTCTTTTTTTTTTAATCATTTGTCTCCTTTTGTTCTAGGTTTAGGTTTAGTGGCTGTGTTGTAGGGCTGGTTTTTGTTCTTAAATTCAACAACTGCTGGATGCCTTTTTCACACGCCCTTTCTAGAAAACACTTCTGAGATTGCCTTGCAGTAGACAATCCTATATGCCTATCTAATGGACAACTTGCAAGACGTTTTGCTTGTTTTTGACTTCCAATATTTGAAGGCATTGAGCCTTCTCCTAATGTAAGTAAGAAGTTCTGTTGTTTCTTTACCCGTTTATATCGTACTTGTGTGTAATATACTAACTTTTGTATTTTTTGTTTTGTGCCGATGACAGAAGTGGGGTCGATCACATTGATATACCAACATGTGACCATGATTTGGAACTTGAAATAAGTGAATTGCTTGATGAGAAAAATCAGCAACTCCAAGTTTGGGCATCCATCGCGCCACTGAGCCGACACGCTCGCTATTGCCTGTTCAAAGGTAAGGTTGTCCTCCTTAAAACTTACTCAAAGTTCTAAAAGTTCTTAAAGATCCATTCAAATTCTCAGTGTCCGACCAGTTTGCACAGGTTGTCTTTTTTATTTTCAGGTTGTCTTCCTGGCTCTCTGGCAATGTTTTGTGCGTGGAGACCATAAGTGCATGGCTGTGTGTGTCAAGGCAGCTGCTTTACTATTATTTCTAGACTGAGCAGTTTAGTGGCTACATTTTCGGCATGTGGAGACATGCCTTGTAGGGTACAATGGAACAGGGCCAAGTGGGGTTCAATGCGACAGTCCGACGGCTGTCATGTTGTTCCCTCCTAGCTCTTTTCATGATATGAACAAAATTATAAATGCATAAACACGAAAAGTCTTCTCTTTTATCAAATTTTGTAAGAAATTTGAGGCTATGTTACAAAGTATTTTTGGGGCTGAGCGATAGCGAACCCCGTTATTCCAGTGGGGTTAAAAAGTTTTGTCTGTCTGCGTGTGGGGCGTGTCTGTGCGCACTACTCCTCACTGTGAAAAAAAAACACAGTGAATCCCGTTAATGTTTTTGCCGGGATTTACGGGTTTTCAGAACAAGGACTTACTGTGCCTGGCTACATTATTACCGAGCAGTTCTCGCGAAAGGGTTTAATTTTGGGCCCTGAAACTTTTTTTAAAAAAAAATTCAATTGAAACCCCGGGTTTTTTTGCATTTATCTTGTTAAGAACATCACTAGGGATCAGGATTCATCGGGGCGAGCTATCACCCCAATAATAAAGGAAATATCGCAATTTTAATTTTTTTGCCGTCCACGGAAATTACACAGCCTCAGAAACTGTCCACGGGAAAATTTCATTTTAATGGGCCCTTAGAATAGGTGCGATACGAACGCAAACGCCCAGCAGTTTTGGCAGCTCCCTGCACATCTGTGCATTCTGGTTCCATGTTGCGTACCTCACAATAAAATTTTGGGGTAGACCACAATTCGATCGTATGCCGTTTCGGGCCCGACACATTCCCGCGTGCACTGCCAAACGGGACACGGCCGTCCTTACTGGGGTGCCCCGTTATACTCGCGGAGAAGAACCTCGTGCGGCTACAAGGTCCCACTCGTAGTGTGACCAGTATGTGACGAGGTGTCATTCCCTAGTACAGCCTCTTTTAGCAGGACTGGGTCCGGTGTCCACCTCTCCGGCTTAATTCCCTGTCTCGGGAACAAATGTGAATTCATTTTCTTCTGACCACGGTTGCATAGTGTTTACCTCCCCGGCGGTACCTCTCCACTTGGGAAAAAAGATGGGCCCTAGAGTGGACAACGGAGGAAAGTTTTTTCTTGATCAGTTCCTCGTGTCTATGTTCGGAAAATATTAAATAATGGGTGCGATCAGTTTGGGGAAAAATTGATCGGCGGGTCGAGACAGCGGCCCGCTCGCGGTGCGGTCTATTTAGCCCTCCTGGAAGAATGTCTGGCACCCCCGTTTACTAACCCCATTCGGAAAGATTTCTTTTTTAGTTTGAGGAACAGATTGCTGCAATTTATTCGATAAACTGGGTCTTAGCATTCGAACGAAAAGCTTAGGAAAAACGTCATGTTGCTTAACTATCGGTCAGGTTAAGGCCAAACCCCAAGTCTTCAAGG